AAAGAGTTAGCAATAATTTGGCTTCATTTATATTAAAGGGAATTTGGGGGCAAAGGATAATTAAAGTGGTATTGTGTTAGAGACGCTTCTGAGAAGGTATTTAATATCTATTAGGTGTAGATTGTTATTTACACGTAGTTGGGGTTATTGTGTGGGGGCGTGCTGTGAAGAGCTTTTGTACTAACAAGTTTTTATTATTGCAGGAAATGCCATCCCTTTAATGTTGCTTTTCACTTGGGTGTCAGAGGTAGCCTGGGAAAGTATGAGTAAAACCTACCTTTTAGTGAGGGACTCTGGGATCTGCTTTTATAGCATGGCTGCTGTGCGGGTGGAAGGTAGGGAAGTTGAGTCACATCTGTGTAAAACTGTGAAGAGCGAGAAAGCCTAAAGTTAAAGATTTTTAATCTGTGAGTAATGTCTAGAATCTGAACTCTTAGAATAAAGTTGAAAATAAGACCTTCCTTCCACTCTCTCTTTTTGTACATCTTCCTTAAAGCTTCAAATTTCTAAGATACTGAAGTAAATTGATAATTTTGAAGCTATTTCCAAATACTCTGTTGGAAGGAAAGAATTGCTTTTATAATATTTTGATAACCACATAGAGACTCATTCGTAGGTACCCATATATGGGTAAATAAATGGCTAGCGATAGAAATCAAGGCATTATTGTTTGATTTTAACAAACATTTATTCATCTACTATATATTCAGACAGTGAATTTGAAGCTGGGGATGTGGTATGAAACACACAGTCCCCTCAGATTGCTCAGTCTAGTCGTAGTTACACAGAAACAGTAACCCAACAATTATGAACCGTGAGTTGGGCGCTAAAGCACGGGGTTAAGGGGTACCTATCCCAGATGTGGGAGCAGGCAGGTTGAGGAAAAGCTTTCTGAAGCAGGGGATTCCTGAAGCGAGCCTTGAAGGATGCACTAGCCAGATAGAAGGCCATATTCAAGGGAGTAAGAACATAAAACAGAAAAAAAACAAACTTGATGTCCTTGAGGAGCTTAACTGCATGTTCAGTGTCTAGGGGCAGAGAAGAGCGGGGGTGGGGGGGCGGGGGGCGGCGCAGAGCAGTGTCTGACTGGAAAGCCAAAGCCAGATTTCGTGTTAGGGCCTAAGAGTTAGGACTTTTCCCTCTTAGTTGCAGATTTTTATTGGAGCGGTGGCATGATGAGATCTGCATTTGGAAAGATCGCTTTGGCAGTAGCGAGAGGCTTGAATGAAGAGTGGTAGACTGGAGGCAGAGAGACAGTTTCCTCGTCTCTGAAAAGGAGATTGAAATATCTCGTCATGGGGTAAAATGAGCTCATATATAAGTAGTTGTCTGATAGGAAGCCACCACAGAGTAAATTCTCAAGAAATGGTAGTTATTTTACCGGTCATGAAATTTAACCGTTCACCAAGAAAACAAACATGGTAGAATGTGTACTAGAATCCAAGCTAGAAGGACTTTTACCTCCTTTGTCCATTACTGGTTTTCTTCAGTAACTAGAACAGTGCCTGGCACATAGTAGGCCCTCATACATTTGTTAAAGGAATTAGTGATTTGATTTTGAGAATTTAATTTAGTTTTGGACTTTAAAATTAGAGAAATATGTAGGAGATCTAAATGGAGTTGACCATTATTTGGCAGTTGGATTTTTTTTGATCTGTCATCCAGGAGAGATAACTGGATTAGACATAGAGATGTGGGGATCACCAAGGTAAATGGGTGGTGATCGGGGCGATGGGATGAATTATATCACCTAGAGAAAGTGTGTTCTCAGCAGTGTTGCTCTGTTTTGAGGTTTGTACCCTTTTGAGAAGCTGCTGAATCTTGTGAATCCTCCCTGCATAGAAAAGCACAGAAGAAAACAAATTTCCACTGGGGTGTCTGTGTGAGGAGCTCTGCACCTGGGGTTAAGAATCTGTGGCATGCAGTAAAGAGAGGTCTGAGTGTGGCACATCAGACATTTACAGGGCGGGCCGAGGAAGAAAAGTAAGATGGGGAAGCGAGTGAAGGTAGAAAGAGGAAAATCAGGAAAGATTGGGGTCTTTTGAAGCTGAGAATGAGCATTTCCTAAAGAGGGAGTGCCAAATGCTACGTATAAGTTAAAGAAGATATAAAACGTGCACTGAATCTGGCCATCGGAGGTCTTTGGTGACTTCAGCAAGATAACTTTCCATTGAGTGTGGGGGAAAGGAAGCTGGAGTTCTGGGGGTTGCATGAAACATGAGGAAGCAATGAAGAAATTGAGACAACTAGGAGAAGTTCCTTCATTTGTTTATTTAACAAATATTTATTGAGTACCTACCATACACCAGGCACTGAGCTGGAAGCCGGAGATTGATCCATGAAGGTGGATGTGGTCTCCTCCCTTAGCTGACGTTCTTGCTGTGTGTATTTGCCTCCCCCCATCCCCACCCCGCCCCGATAATGCCCTGAGATGAGTTTCTCCTTGGCGCACGGCTGGGCACATTAAGCCACCAGGGGACTCCAGTTGTTTTGCTGGGTCAGATCCAGGCTGTTAAGTCCAGGCTCTTCTCTCTCTCTTGGGCACCAGGGAGCAAATTGTCCTCTATAATACCAGCCCTTAAAGTCAGGGACACACTTCAAAATAGCCTTGAGTTTGTCCAGTGCTCACTATGATTCTCTTATTCACTGAGTTCATAGAAATCATTTTAATATTTATTTTTACTTTAGCCCATACTGACTCTTGTGGTAATGACTTTCATAAGCTTATTATTTGCAGTATAAAATATTGGTCCTAAATGTAGAAAAGAGGCATGAATACCAGGCCTCAGGAAACCTTTCTCCTAATCCTGGTCCTAGACTTTCTCTGCTCATAGGGATCTCTCATTTACCTTTTTATTTATAAAAGTAATAATAAAATCTTTTCTTGGGGGCCTGTCGTCTTTTTATACATATGGAGGCTGTCATCACACACAAGCTTCAAGAGAGCTGAGGCTTGGTTTCGTAAGGGTAGTGTGTGGGGGGCAGAGAGTGAGGGAGTCTGGCATCCTGGTGCTCCAGGGTTTTTTGTCCCTTTTACTGTAATGGACCAGTGGATTCAAAGAGTGGTATACAGTGATTCTCAGGTGTATTTCTTATATTAGAACTGAAAATGTAAATAATTATCATAAATATGATTTAGATTTTTCCCCAACGTACACTGGGTTGCCCCTGCTTCTAGTGAAACTCACCTGCCTCTTTTCTGCTTACTCACTTTGTCTTTTAAAACATTTGACTGGATTTTACCTCCTTCTAATTGGATTTTCAGTTGCAAATTCAAAGAATACAATACGTTCTATCTTCCAGATCAGTTCTAAAAATGTTAAATAAAAACAAGCCTAGTACTGATCTGTTCCTTTTTTCATAATATTTTTTTCCTAATGTTTAAAGATCCTATTCCTTGGTACATATTTCTTTACACGTTATGGATTATAGCAAAGGTATATAGATATCTGTAAAATGCCCAGAATAGTGCCTGACATATTTGAGGTATTCAGTAAATATCTGTGATTGTGTCAGTTTCTCCAGGTTCTCTAGATTGTTTGGTAGTTCCTGTATTCTTTTCAGAATTGTTGAAATGATTATTAATTTGGGTGGAGCATGGCGATATTATATTGGTAATGCACCATCCAACATTATTATATACTAGATTTTTTAAAGCCTGGTTATACATTTTGCCAAACAATTCTTATGGATTCAGCAAAAAACTGTATTCTCATTATGATTTGTGATTTTTAAATTTGATTTCTTTACGCGTCTATTTTAAAAACAGGAAGCTTAATTTTGGAATTAATCTCTTCCCTTTGTGGTAATCTGTGAGAGATTACAATGTAATAAATATAGCATAACTAAAATACATAAAATTATTTAGGATCTTATTAGAGTACTAAAAAATTAGTATTTTGTGAGAAATGATAATCATAAACTCATCAAACTCACATGCTATTTTATTATATTTAATAATATAAAGTAGGGAGATTATAAAATTTATATTCAGAAGTGAAGACTTGTCTAAGATCACTTACTTATAAAGGGCCCAGTCAGGACCTGGACCAGGACTTCCTGGACCGAATCACATCTTTGACCCTTTTTACATTATGTCCTTTTAGTAAGAGAACTTCATAGAAACTCATATTCAATAAACATTCTCCCAAACATTCTATATCTGTAGCACACGCTAGTAGCTATTATTTATAGATATCCAGTGTATATATAAGAAGAAAGGGTTTATGTTTTTCAGTGGAGGCTAAAATATGGAAGGCTGATGAACACAAAGAGTGAATTCTCAGTTAACCAGAATTTTTAATGAGGCCGGAAGCCTTAAGCAAATCTGTATCCCCCTTAGTTTACACCTTAAGTTTCTTAAGCAGTCATTTTTGTAGATGCCTTTTTCAGAATCCCCACATATTTTACAGTAGAAAAAATAAGCACTTTAATTACCTTCCTCCTCTCCTTTAGCCCTTCGCAGTCATTAGACTGCTTTAGGACAAGCAGGTTCTTGCATATTCCCATTCCTTGAAAACCTTTCCAGTCAATGGTCTTTCAACAGCTTTTCACATTGTTCATTAAATCCACTACATCTATAAACTGTACATCAGTGGAAATGTTTTGTTAAAATTTTTGTTTCATTTCTTATTTATTATCAGATAGTCATGGTTGGAATATTTTAAATCTGTATTAACTGTGGTAAACTTCTACGAATGCTTCCAGTGCTGTATAATTAATACCACCATCGCGAATATTCACTCTTTAAAATATGCCTGCACATGGCGCCTGCCCCTCCCTCTTTCTCCCCCTCCTTCCCCCCTTTACTCACACACACACACACACACACACACACACACACACACACGTGCGCGTGCGCAAAGCACACACCAAACTGCCATTCTCCGGTAGGCCTGTTTCTGGAGTTGGGAGATGTCAGCCTGCGGGGAGGGGGTGGGGGGAGGAGGAAGAGGTGGGGCTCTACTCTGATTAATTACCTTAGGCATTCAGGGGTGGGGCTTCCTTCAGCCATCTGCCTGAGATATGGGAGGGAGCTGGAGAAAGAAGGAGGGGGAGAGACTGCCAGAGAGGAAGAGAAAAGAAAGGAAGAAACACTAGAAAGAAAAGGGAAGGAGGACGGAATAAAGGGAGATCAATTACCCACCCTTAAATAGCTGGATTGGGGGGGGGAGGGGGGTGGTGAGAACGCTGGGGAAGGTGTGCCCCAGCACGACTGCCCTGAAGTGTTCATCATCATCTGTTCCGTTTGGTTTATGGAGAAAAAGAAAATGGTAACTCAGGTAAGATTTGTGTTTTCCTCGGTGTTTTCCTTTTCCCCGTTTGTGTGATCTAAATAAAGATACGGGGGTGGGGCACAGTAAGCAGAGTTTCAGTTATTATCATCTTCTTCGAAAAGGCCAAATTTATTGTTATCAGCTGAAAAGTCTGTGTTTTGAGAGAGATGTATCCGTATCCTTCCCCCCAACCCCCGCCCCCCCAGCTCCATAGCAGATTCCTGTTTCCTGTACTTTGCAGCTGTAGCTCAGGAAAGACCCTGTGGGGATTTGTCTACCTCTTTGTCTTGGTTCTGAGAAGAGGGAGGGAGAGAGAGACTGCAGAGGTAGGAAGAGATTCTTGTAGACTGCCAAAAAGAGGGGAGAGGGATTGACTTCCTTTTAAGAATTGCAGAAGAATTTGCTACGGGGAAATCTGATTCCCGATTCACTTCGGTTTCTCAGAATTGGCTATGGAATTGCAGTTTTGCTGCCTTCGTTCTGAATGGCTTATTAAAAATGAAGACTGGGAGAATATGTTTCATTTTCATGGCTTTGTTACTGGCAAAGAATGTTCTCAGGAGGAACCATAGGAGCATTCAGGTGCAGCAGAGGCAGGTAGAGCCCTCCCTGACAGATCCGAATGTATAAATGACAATCCCGGGGGCATTAAAAGGCATTTGAAGGAGAGGGAGTGGGAAATGGAAGATCTCTTCCTCCCTGTCTCTCGCTCTGGCTGTCTCTGGTTATGCCAGGCAGTATCTCATCCACATTTTAGCAAGTCATTCCTCACAAATCAAAAGGTGAATCCTGTTCCGTGGTTTCCCCTGACGGTGCTATTTTTCTCGTTGGCACCCTTCTCTGTGTGCGTTTTTACCCTTTTTGCTTTATATATAGGGTGAGAGGGAATGCGAGGCTGTGATTTATCAATGAGAGATCATTTGCGTTGTAGAACACTCATGTCCTTTAGTCTCAGACTTAGGATCGTTTTCACTCCAGGCTTG